TGGAGTAGATAGGCTCTTCTGTCGCCTGGGTCATACGCCTCCCTTTTCTCTGGATTAGTGGTAGAGACTCATTCCTTTTTCCCTGTTTAGGAAGGGGTTCCCGGTTCCTTTCCTTTTCTCTGGCCTTAATAGTAGTGCTGTTTTGATTTTCTTGTTATGTGCGTGGTTGGCGGCAACGTCTCTTCATTCTGAGGTACTGGGTTGGCACTTTTCTGGTTGCTATTTCCGACTGGTTAGAAGCCCGAATTCTTGCGTAGCGTCTTAAGAGGCTGCACTGATCAACAGTTGCATAATACTTGGGTTCTTGCAGTGCCATGTCGCGCATGGATGGGTGCCCCTGAAAGCACCTCCGGTAGGTAACCCCGAGGCCACATTATGTTGCAGTGTGGGCCAGTTTCCATCTGCCCATGTTACATTTGATGACCGACAGCTACTACTACTCTAGGCCTTTCCTTATCAAAATAACACATCATCACTATAAACAACCAAAGTTATAAACCTAAACCAGCTCAACAAAAATTACCTAAACCCCTTAACCTGTTCTTTTTCAACATTTGTAGTATTCCTACCAACTTCTACGGTGTGGAATCATTCCTCTTCGAAAAGTCTCCAGACATCCTAGCTTTCTGTAAAACTAACCTTTACTCATCAATCTCTTCCTTTGATTTCTCTGGGAGTTTATCTCCGAAACCATCTCCCGCTAGCTCTCGAATCTCCTGACCATTCGTACATGTTTCTCCGTCTGTCTCTACTTAATTCAGTCAGCTATCTCTTCTTTCTCTACCGTTCCCCTTCCTCTGTTGCGTGCTAGACAGTATTTCTGATAATATAGACAAGACCCTCTCCCTACAGACGTCTGCTAACATATACGTATTCGGTGACTTTAACGCCCACCATACCAGGTGGCTTGAACACTCTGTCACTGACCTCGCTGGCATCCAAACCCTGAACATTTCAATCACTCATTCCAACCCGCAAGTGGTTGACTTTCCTACGCGTTTCCCCAGTAACTCGAACGGAAACGCTTCTATTCTCGTTCTCCTTTTTACTCTATCCATGACTCTTGTCACGCGACGCAGCTCACACACCCTTGCCAACTCTGATGTCTAAGAAGTGTTTGTAAACGTTTCCTTCTACCACCCCCACCACCAACAGAATATCTTTCTGCTATCAACCAGAAGACTAGGAATCTTTCCGTGGCTTTCTTCGTGACGTCCCTTGGAATTAAGTTTTCAAACAAACCGTTTAAAAATGCGACTCTGAGGTTTTCTCCTGGGTGAAAGTCGGCATCGATGCTTTCATTCCAGTTAGGAAATACCAACTAAAACAGCGTTCATCTCGTTGGTTCTCACCTGCTTGCTCGGCCGCTATAGCCCACAGGAACCACTTCTCCGGACTGTTCCAGAACGATATATCTGATTGCAACAGACGTGTCTTTGTCTATGCTCGTGACGGGTTCAATCTTGTCCTCAATGAAGCAAAGTTACTCTTTAGTGATAGAATAAAACAACGTATAGAATGTCGAAAGTTCGATTCTAGAGATCATTGACACTTCTGCAAAAGTGTGTTTAACAACAGCAATTCCTCAATTCCTCCTCTATTCAATCAATTCGAAGTCCTAACATCTACAACAGATAAGGCTGAATGCTTTGCTCGTAAATTCTCTTCTAATTCAACACTCGACTCATCTGGAGCGCCCACACCTGACTTCACCCCAAGAACTGAGGCTATACTTAGTGATATGTACATAACCTCGTAGATGGTCTCGGATATCAGTTCTAAATTAGACTCCCATAAAAAAAACTTTGGAGGTCCTAAAGAAATGTGCTCTTGAGCTGGCTCCAGTTCTCTTCAAACTATACAACTATTGCCTCACAGCTTCCTGCTTATTGGAAGTCCCCCCTCTGTCGTCTGTGTCTTTAAGAACTCTAGAGAAGCTTCTGACCCCTCTAATTACTGCCCTATCAGTCTACTACCGATTTTCGGCAAAGTCTTCAAGTCCTCAATCAATGCCGAAGTGGTTAAGTGTCTTAGGTCTCACGATTTACTCCCCAAACAATATGGATTCCGTTTTGCCCGGTTCACTGCTGACGTGCTTACAGTCATAACTGAACACACACACACACGCACACACACACACACACACACACACACACACACACACACACACACACACACACACACACACACACACACATATATATATATATATATATATATATATATATATATAGTAAGCTCTCTATAATAATAGCGAAGATCCAGCTGTGACTCTAGATATAGGGGAACCAATTTTCCGCAATCACAGAATCACGGAATCGTTAAAATGAATCTGAATTTTTAATCTAATTTTCTTTAATAAATAACAAATTAAAAATTTGAATTTTTTTCATTTTTTCTTAATTCTTTCAAAACTTAAAAACTCACTCTCTGATTTTGTTAAACATTTTAATAAATATAACAATGATATAACATAGTTATTTCCTTAAAATTTGCTTTTACAAATATTTGTAGTAGGTCGCTTCACTACTTCGCTAAAAAAGAGCATACCCTAATGAAAAAGGCCCTAAACTTGATAAACCTTTTTTTTTTATCTTGTAAATGTTTACGTTATTAAGAGGAAAGACTAAAGTATTTTTGATCATTTTTTTTAAAAAATTTAATCCTTCCTAGCCCGTCCGAAATTTTAGTTAAAAATCTTGTATTTTTTTTTTTTTTTTTGAGTTAGCAAAATTGACATAAAATCGATCATGTGAGCCATTTTTTAAAATTTTGTATACAAAGGTGAAATTCTCCGTTTAAAAATCTTTTAAAATTCAAAAGTTATTTTAGGAAAATTAGAAAATTTAAAGTTTACTTAATGTAATTGGAAACAAACATTACTTAATTTTTTAGCAGAAGAATTTTAGTTGAAAAAAAGAAAAGCGTGTCTAACCGTGGTGATTGGTTTTGCGGGTGCGAATTGACGTTTACTTCGATGTATCGACAACTAACGTCAGGGAAATTTATCGGACAGAAGGACAGAAGTGACAGTATTTTCGAATTTTAAGTGAACCAGTTTATTTAACTATAAAGTAATTTTTTTTTAAATTAAGTACCTTCAAAAGTTTGATATTTTATTGATTTTTTTAAATATGTTTTTTTAATGAAGATAGGTCCTAAAATTGAATCTAAAAAAGAAAGTAATTAATGATTGCAATATGTCACTCACTGAAAAACAATAAATTAATTATATTTAAAAAGTGAAATTAAAATATAAGTGAAATAAGATGTAAATTTTTAGAAAATTGATAATACGACGATGATGGTCAGTCAGAGAATTTGATAAAGCAATTTCTTAAGGTTTTTCGCTTAGAATACGTTACCTATTATTGCTGAACTGTACATCCATAGTTTTGGAGAAAACGTTTTTAATATATTTTATGCATATTAAAAAAATATTTTAAAATTACTATCGTGTCGCAGATTGTTATAAATTTATATTGATTGGCATCTAGATCCCACCTATTTACTGCTGAAACCGTCACTTCTACTCTAACTAGAATCTTCAAAAATATGAATGCAACGTCAATCGCCATTTTCTGTTGCCTTGATCCATGCCCTTTTCCCCTTTCCTCACCCCCTTACACCCACTCTTTTCTTTCACTTTCATTCTCCATAACACCCTGCGTACTAGTGGTATGTCTGCTTTGTTTGGGGGTGAAAGGCTTAAAAAATTAAGAATGTGTAACGGTCAGTCTATACTCTCACCTGCAGATTCCGTCGTGCATGAGTCGTACTAGCGGTAAGAGATAATTTTATTATTGTTATGATTATTTTCAACAAAGCTTTCAGGTTGGTCTATTCTTTGTCCTTCCCATGCTGTTTTCAGAGTTTTTATTATTATTATTATTATTATTATTATTATTATTATTATTATTAGCTTTTTTCACTGTCAAAAAACAAAGACAGAGAGACCGTCTTTTGGTTGTTAATACATTGCTCCGGATGTTATAATCTACGGCCTTTCTGTTTTAACTGATATTCTGAAAGGAAATATTTTCGCTATTCCATGTATTAATCAGATTTTTTCTTCATCATTGTTGCTTTGGAAACAATGCTTTAGCATTTTCCAAACGTTGTGAATAATACTTCTATAAGTTTACTTATTCATTTTTATTAAATTCCAGCGAGTATGAGACACGAGAGCCTCTCAAGTTAGTTGTATAAATATTAAGGAAAGCACCCACGTCAGAGTCTATTCCAAAAAGCGGCAGTTCTTGAGAAATTCTGTCTGAGTAGAACTCATCAAACATTTGAAACACAGAGGACATAAGCTTCATCCGAATTCGTGGAAGTAGCAAGGCGTATCCAATCAGTAAAGGACTGAAATGAATGTAGCTTGTCAGAATATTTGCCATGGCAATAGCATTAGAGTTGTGATAGGCTTGCAACGTTGTGTGTGTGGAGACAAGTTTGGAGAGTAGAAAATAATCCTCCCAAGACTGTGTAAACGATTTTGAACAATTATAAAGACTGAAAAGTTTTCATTCATCAATCCAGTAACATATATGGCAGCAATACACGATTTGGATTTTAAACGAACTATTGTCCAAAAATTGGAGTATTGCAGCCATATGTGGGCCAGAGTTACTCAACCCCCTACTTTCATACATTGATAGAATTCAAAATTGTTTATGCGGTCTTTTTTTGTTGTTGTTTTCTCAGTATATTTTAGACAGACTCTGTTTTATTGGCGAATGAAGAAGTGATGATATTGAAGAGAAAAAGTCGCTAAATCTAACAAAAGTATTCATACAACAATCAAAAAATTAAAGGGAAATATGGAATCGATCCTGTCACGATAGAAAACATATATCTCCATTTTATATCTTGGCTTTTCCGGCATCTCTTTCTTCTCCATTTTGTTTTTAAATATTTGTCAATAGATGCCCATATATCTGCTCTTGTCGTCTGCTTATATTTCGTTTTATTTTTAATATGCCTTTCTCTTGAAGTTCATGATTATTTTATCATCTCTGTCTTTTCCGTATTCTTCTTTTTCCTTTGGTTTTGTTTCTCTTTCATTCTTCTCCACTTCTATTTGATCACGATTCTTTTCTTTCTTTTTCTACTTCTACTTCTCGGCTTCTTTTGTTATTCTACATTTTCTTCTTTTCTATATATATTTTTTGAGTTTTCATCAATAATTCTTTTCTTCTTTTTGGCCTCATTCTTCTTTTTCATCGCTTCATATTTTTCTTTTCTGTATCTTCGATCAATTTTCTTTTATTTCATTTATTCTTCCTCCTCTTCTGTTCTCATACTTCTTCATCGAGCAGTTTTCTTTTTCAATTTTAAGTTTATTCACTCATTCTCCATTTCTTATTCATTTTTCCTTTCCTTTTTCTTCTTTTCTCATTCTATCATTTTTATTTAACTAATCTTGTTCGCCCTTTCTTTATTTTTCTTCTGTTTCTTTTCTTATTCTTTCATTCCTATTCTTATTCTTATTCTTTCATTCCTATTCTTATTCTTATTCTTTCATTCTTCCTCTCTTATTTAACGTTTTCTTCTGTCATTATTTTTTTCTTCTCACATTTTTATTACTTTTCCTTTTTCTCACATTCTTCTGGTTTCATTATTTTTTCTTTCCTTAATCTTTTTCTTCTTCTTTTTCGTCTTGTTTTACTTTTATTTTATTTTTTCACTCTTCTTAAAATAAAGGCAAACCATCCGGGAGAAGAAAACACTGAAATCGGATGTTTTGCGTGTTCATGTGCAATAAAAGGACATTACTTGCATCTGAACTTCGACTGGCCATTCACTGCAACTAATCCTTCATCGACCATGCCGCTGAACCCTCTCCCCTCCCTTGCCGCTGGACCCTAGAGCAAATGTCAAGAGAGTGGCGTTGGACTTGTGCAACCTCTTAAAATGTAGAAGACAATTCAATCATTATTATCATCATGGTCGTCATCCTCGTCATCATCATGGACGTCATCATCATCATCATCATTTCTTGGGATGCAGAGCGATAATATATTTCAAATTCATCTTATCTTGAGTCATTTGACACATCTTTCAATTTTTGTTTCATTTTGTTTTATTCAAATTTCTCTTTACCGTGTTCGCAGTGCTTCGAATACGACAACTGCATCCCCAACAGAAAAGTAATGCTGCCCACCCCTATAAAATGTTTCCTTACCGGATGGATGCTTGCGACAACCTACGTCTACTTATACCATGAGCAAGTATGAATATGACCTATGTTATCTATAGACTCAATTAAAATATACCTGTATCTCCCGGATAGAGACAGGTATTAATACGCTTTATCTTTATGTATAGATTGAAGTATATGCATCATATTTTTCTATCAATAAACAACTATAAACCCGGCTTACATCACGTATAAAAAACGGTTTATGACTAAGTCTAGGCTCAAGAATACCCATTACTACCAAAAAGATTAATAACAGCGACTAGGCTTGAGACAGCTATTTTCCTGATAAATAGTTTTAACTGAAAGAATTTATAAACTTCAACTGAGGCCAGTACTGGCTGTTTTCTCAATGAATGTTTCCTTATAAGGAAACGGCTAATATTACCATTACCATTATTTATTTTTAGGTAATTTATAAACCAAGATATATTAAGCTGGGACAAGATAATTATAAAAATATGATACATTACCAGTGGAGCATGTATTTTAAAATTTACTGAACAGACTTTCAAAAATTAACGAAAAATGTTGTTATATCTAATATGCAAAACTTTTTTAAAGTTACTATTTTCCTTTTTTGATATCTATCCTTCTTCGAGACTTGTGGACTGGCGCTACACAATCGCAAACAATGAACTGTACCAAATAACGGAACCCACATTACTTGAGGACTTTGAACAATAACAACAACTAAAATGGATAGCACGTGTAACTTGAAGCGAGAACAATGACATAATCAAGATGTCGACGTTCCACACTACTTCAGACAAAAGGTTAGGAAGGAAACACCCATCATTACTGGAAAGAGTGATAACAGTGAACTTGATGAACCTATTTTCCTGAAGAATTATTTTAAGAGAAAAATTTTATAAATTTCAACTGCCTGCTCGGTCAATTATCAACTTACTAAAAAAAACAGGGGTTATATGTCATAAAACTCACACGCCAATCTTCATTTTCTTTAAAATTATTTCATATTTTTGCAAATTGCACTGAGATTGTTCCACACGGAATCAGGTGTTTATTACTTCACCTTTAGTTATTTCTTTTTTTTTTTTCGTTTACGTTTTTTCATTTCGCAATACAAGAAAGTTAAAATTAAAAAAAAGCATCTTCTGAAAATATTATGGCTATTGACTAATGTGTGGATTCTTTTTATCCGTTTTAATCATAATGGTGTCTAATATTGGCTCAAACGCACCGGAAGTACCCTCAGAGCAGGAAGTAAACAAGTGTTTTCGCAAAAGACTTGCCAATGAAAACCTTATCATCAATTCCAGATGTTAACGAGCGAATAGACAGCCATTTTATTTTCGGATTTTTTCTTATTTTAACCCCTGTGATCGCTTCCTTTTAAATCTTCTGCCTTCCGCTGATTCATTTTTATTTTGTTTTCTCCTGCTGCAAAAGGCTTCTTTCCTTAATAGCTGCTTCCATTCAATAAAACTTCCTTGTCTTTATTTTTTCACTTTCTTCACCTGCTTTCCATTTTGAATATATATATATATATATATATATATATATATATATATATATATATATATAATTACTTTTTCAGAGCGTGATAAACTGCTAAAAAGTCAGAACGCTTTTCCAAATGAAGGCATTAAAGCAAATTCCTCCTGCGCTACACAGAGAACAAAAGGAATAAACTACCATAACCCAAGTCTAATAAAGTTTATTCCAAACATAGAAAGAAAAATACACGTTTGAAAAAAACAAATAAATATGTATAGGGTACGATGTGTAACTTATTGCAATTTTATATTTTTTAATTTCGTGCTTGTTTGTTTTGATTTTGAGCATTGAAGACACTGTATCTGGCAACAGGACTCTTGCACACAAGCAGGAGAACCCAGTCATACCCGTCAGGCAATTCCTGCGACCACATCACCCCTTACATTTAGTAGCCACCTAACTTCCCAAACTCTAATTCCTTTGATTCTTATGTGTGCTGCGAAGTTAAGCGAGAGACCAGCAAAACTCCTTGTAACACCAAAGAAGTGAAGGCAAGAATTATGGTTGAATTCACTAAGTTAAACAAGGAGACCGTTCAGAAGACTTGCAGGAGATTCCAAAGTCGATGGCGATTTTATTGAATAAATTTACTCTTTAGTATTTCTAGATACTTTTGGATAATTTTAGTAAATATATCTGTTAAAATGCGATGTCAGTGTTATTTTCATTTTAGCGTAATTTAGACGATAATTTATCCATCGCAGCCTGAATAATATATATATATATATATATATATATATATATATATATATATATAAGGTGATAATGCCACTAAGATGCAAGGGTTTACTGAAAATGAAAAAATGCAAATGCAAAGACCCTAGTGAGGAGAAAGGACAGATTTCAAGAAAGCAGAAGATAGCGATTTTTTTTGATTTTTTTTTTTTTTGAAGATCGTATGTGGCCGGAAAGTTTAGAAACCGAAAGAGGCTACCACAAGCGAGAAGTATCAGATTAGTAACTATTAGAATATAAATTATGGGTACATCGAGCTATTTCAACAGTAAAAATTCACAATACCAGGGAGCAAAATAAACTGGAGGATCTTGACAAGGCTCATACCAAACTGGGAACAATTAGTCTCATTAACTAGTTTAACCAGACGATGGCGTCCGTCAGGAAAACACCCCGTTGTGTCGAAAGGAGACTAAAAAGAACAGACTCGCAACTTTCACCCACCTTTCACTAAAATCTACCGGTATCAAACGCTTTTTATCAGTTTTGATGCTCATCCCAGCAGATCCAACCAGATCCTGATGAGAATAACTTTCGTATCGTAAGATTCTCTCTATCCGCGTGGTCCATACCACCATTTATTGTCCTCATCTTTGTTGTTGTTATCACAACGCTTCGGTCGTTGTTCCCACCGGCCTTCTTCAAGAGTATATCGATTTACATGGAATTCCGAACTGAATCCTTTATTTAATCTACGAGGATAGACTGTTCCACTTCCCATGGCAAGGGAAATCGTCTAATCCTTGTTTTTTGTACTGCTCAGTTATTGCTCAGAATTCCCTGTACGTTATCCATATCGATATATACCTGATGATGGCCGAAGGAAACAACGACCAAAAAGTTGTGATAACAACAGAGATGAGGACGATAATTTGAATATAAATAATATAAATTAGCACAAGACAGCTGATATTTCTGAAACAGATAATCAGGAAAGACATGTTGGAAAATTTAATAGGATGTATGTAAGAGGATCAGGGGGAAAGTGAGTAAGCTATATAAGGAGTTTAAGTGAATGGGTGTCAGAACAAGAAAAGAGGGTGTTGTTAAAGGAGTACTTAGTGAAACAAGGTACAGGAACTCGTGGAGAGCCTTAATCAACGACTACATGAAATGATGTGGCGCATAAAACAGAACAATGTATTTTAATTACCGAACGCTTCTCAAAGTTCAATGCTGACACAAAATAGCACGAAAAAAGACTCTGGCTTGACTAAGATGGAATTTCAAAATAAATGTTAATGCTTAGCTTTGTGATATAGTCACGACATCATACGTGCTAGAATCTGTGACGCTAACAATTGTTTGATGATTACGTGCATCAGATTTTCCTTGTCTCTGTTTCTTACTGAAAATCATATCACTGAGATAAAGGTTTTAATGTAGTTACAAATATCACAACTTCTATTGTCTGTATTGGATACTTTTATTGTCCCCAGTATGGAAATTTTATCGACTACTTGTCAATGAGAGGGTGTAGTAAATAAGATAAAAATCATAATCCTAGCATTGCATACCCATATATTAGGTAAAAATTTACACTGATGAATTTTAGAAAAAGAAACTTTTTTTTTACCAGGAAATCTCACCTTCATCCTAAATGCTGATTCGAGAATTCACGGGCCAGTGAAAAGGCACAACTACCCCCTGCGTCTTTTATTATCTTTTTACTGAACATATGACCGTCAACTACATCTATCAGATATATCATACTTCAAAAATGCAATATTTCCAACAACTTGTGTGATTTATTTTTATTGTTATTTTATGTTTTCTCCTCTATTTTATACAGGCAATTCGGTCTGATTTTGGGAATTAGGTCAGACTGAGAGCTTTCCAGCACTCACTTGTATATTCCTTTTATGTAGCTATCGATATTTCCCCTGCATAATTATTCCACTTTCCAACTGTGCTTCCTTTTTCTTTCTTCTGCTCATTCCGGATTTGTTACCTCAATTTGAATATCATCTTTTCCTTTTAATTTTATTTTTATTTATCGCCTGTTAATCTTACCTTCGACATTTCAAATTTTCATTTCTTACAAATTTCATTTTTCCATTCACCTTTCGAATTTTACAGTTTGCCTGGAAAAATTGAACACCTGCATATCTTCCGTATTGTTATCAAAATTATATATTTGCCGGCACCTAACACTTATTGCGTCATCTTTTTCTTAGTTTCCCATTTCCAAAATTTAGAGAAAATTTTCTTCTTTTTTAACGTTTTCTTGCAATGTTGCTCCTGTTATAAATAAAATTCAAAATCCAAAATGGCCGTCCGAAACGCAAAATCGCCTGCTTCACTCAATTGCTTCTCTATTTCTGATTTTTAAAAATTTGATTGTACATCACAGTTTATGCAGTAAATTTAAAAATTTCTGAAGTTTGATTCTATTCGGTTTTTTATCGAATTT